AATACACCAATGAGGAAAAGGAGACTCAGAGGGGAGGACTGATTTGTCCAGAGTCCATAAGACTGTTGGGACTTAAATCTCTCATTCACTTCAAGATTTCTTTGATGCTCTTAGGAGAGCAACAGAATTGGATACTCCATGGATGCTGAGTAAATGTTGTCAAATGAAACTCAGAAGTTCATCCCATGGGATGTCACTGTCAGTTACACAAGCCTTGGAAAGCATGTCAGGTGGAGGATGGGGAAAGAGCAGGGATATTGTGCCCAAGAGAAACTGGTCCAGCCTTGAAATTAAGCACATGCTCCAGATTCAGAAGGGATGCTTTGCTGAAGTCCACAAGGAAGCCAGGATGTTCTTTGCAACAGGGAGCAGACATCACCTTGCTCAGGTACCAGATGGACAGATAAGGTCCCAGCATCTCCCATCTGGCTACAGAGTGAGAAGACAGCAACTCTAAAGACCACTGAGAGTGGCTCCATGTGGCCCATGAGATTAAGCTGCCTGATCAAGATTCTGCCATCGTGGGTTGAATCTTCCATCAATTCCCTCCCTTCTGGGTTAGGCAGGGCCTCTGGGGCAGGGAAAGCTTGCCAAGGTCCCGTGCTGGGAGATGAGCATGCAGGTACTGCCTCTAGCACAGTGTTCTCCTTGCAGCCTATCTGAAGGAAAAGCTTCTCTCAGAGCAAGGTCACACAGCCTTAGCTCCATTTGGGGAAACTATGGAGAAGAGGACCAGGTCCCTTGGTCATTGGTTTTTAACTAGCTCTGCCCCTTTTAGGCCATTCTCCTAAGAGACAGAGAAGTGATGGTATCTTCCCCTGAGCACAGTAGGCCAGCACAGTGTAGCACCATGCTGCGGGGCATCTATGCCAATTTTAGATTCCAGAAACTTTCATTCCCCCTCTTCCACTTGGTCTCTCTAGCAAGGGAGGGGAAGGGAAGTTGGGTTGGGTAAGAACAGAGGGTTCCTCATGGGGCCAGGGTTGGAGAGGCCACTGTAGCTCCCCACAGAGTTTCCTGGGTAATTAATCAGTAGGTATCCCTCTCTACTGCAGGCTGTTGCTCCTCCCACATCTGGCAGAGGAAGCACATTGTCCTTCCCAGAGCATCCCTGCCATAACTCTCTACTGTAAGCAGACCAACTTCTGGTACCTGCCATGGAAGACAGAGCTAGCTCCTGCTCACAAGTGAGTTGCCAGACAAGGGGAAGATTTGTATAAGGGGATGAGGAAGAGGGGGCATATAAAATATAAGAGAGCTGAAAAGCAAGGTGGGTAAATCAACTGCCCGGAGGAGGGAGATAAATAAGTGCCTGCCAACATATGCCAAACAGAAGTGGATGGAACCAAAGGAGGGACAGAGCCTGAAAATGAAATCTTAGCTCATTCCCAGAATGATTTCCCAGAATAAGTTCCCCTTTTTGTGGCATGTTGTTAGGTGGAATGATAACTAAGACTTATTGACAGTTGCCTGATCTCAAGATAGAAAGGTAAGCTCTTTGATGACACCCTCCCTCCTGCCTGACCCTCTTGTCTCTGCCTAGCAGGCAATAGATGCAATAGTTAAGATTGTTGAGTAAATTATTGAAGAGAAATGAGTGAGAAGTTGGAAGTGGGAGGCAGAGGGAGAGGAAAGGAATAGAAAGAGTTCATCTTGCATTAAAGATATTGAAGAGAATGCAATTTGGGACCCCATTGAGAGATAAATCTAGGCTGGCCAGAAAGAGACTAGCCTCAAATAATTGGATAAAACCCCTAGAACTGAGAGTATTAGTGGTCAGTGATGTTTTCCCCTATTTACTGCAGTCTGCTACCCACTTTGTTAAGGCTGACAGACCTGAGGTAGGAGAAAGTGAGGGGAAGGCAGGAGTTGATGAGTGGTCACTTATGTGTAGACCAGTGATGGACCTGTGTCTGGGAGAATCTGTTGCGATCTCTATGTCTCTCTTTCATGGGAGTCAGTGGTTAGGTCCTCATGTGGATGTGGCCTGTATGATGTATGACTGCTTCCTCTCATGCATGGGTAGTTTATGTGTTAGGGATTATGGCAGTTTATGTATTCCTCCGTGTGTGTGTGTGTGTGTGTGTGTGTGTGTGTGT